CTCCAAAAGCTCTTCCAAAGTTCTTTGGGTTAAATCATTCCCCTTGAACAGAAAATTTTAGTTTCAGAATTTCTTTTCGAGATGTTGTTATTTATAATTTTAAACATTTTTTAGGTTTATTTTTAAGAGGAGTGCAATATTAATTGTTTATTAATTACAAGCTTTGTTGATATTTTTTTTTACTGCTTTTATGGAAATTCAGCAAAAAATAGTGTTTGCTTAGGTGGCAGCTTTTTTTGACGTATCTAATTCCAAAACTTTCATATTTATATGTTTATGATTATTACTAATCTTTCAAAAGTGAATTGTGCATTTTCATGCATAGATTTGTGACATAAGTGTTGTAAATATAAATATATAAATTTAGGTGTTAGATGTGGTTATACATAAGATTTTTGTGATATGTATGTACTTTATTGTTAATTACATCTAAGTAGTTATTTTTGGGAAAGTATTTTTTAAGCTATTATAATTTAGAAGTAAAAGTGGAAGTAGAAAATTTGAAATTACCTCAAACAATGCCTCATTTTAAAGCAAAATTTAAATCTTTGAGATTCATCTCAATATTCTATTCTATTTTGTTTTTTCCTGAAATTGTATATACTTTTTTTTATCAAGTAAGATTATTTTTTTTGGATTTCAATAAAAAAAGGTAAATTTTGTAGGAAATAATTTTATATATTACCACATGTGTACTGTGTCATAATTTATTTATAGTGGAAAGAAATAGAAGGTAGTGGAGTTGAGACTTTTTGTATTGACCTAGTAAGTCTTGATGGATTGATTTAATATGATGTAAAGCATGTTAGAACATCTAGTTAGCACTAGAAGTCTTTTATGCCAATATTTTGACATATGGTGTAAAGTGTGATCACTTTTCATACTTTAATTTTAGACGCTGACAAATGTTTAATAATTATATGCGTAAAACAAGTATTGCAACATCTGGTTTATGCTTTTAACTGTAAAAATAAATTAGTGATTGATGGTAATTGATAGTGAAAAGTTTTAACAAAAATTCTGATTCTGATTTTTTTTTTCTCTACAGATTTTTCAATTTTTATTTTTTTCTCTACAGATTTTTCAATATATGATCATCATTTTGATTTAAATAATGGAAATGCATTTTGAATGTTGAGTGAGCTACCAATGTGTGGGGAAAACACCGTCTCTTAAAACAAAAGTTTACATTTAGTTTTTTTTGGAATCGGTGAGGTTTCAGGGTGCGGGAGGAAATGACTAACCATTGGGCCACCATCTCATATGTAAAATTTTGTACTTATAATAAAATATTAAAAAAATATATTTGTAAACTGTAAGATAGTTTTAGAGATTTTTCTCTAGGTTTGACTATATTTTATTACTTATATTGCATATACAATATTTTCTCAAAGTCTTTTTTTTGCATAAAATATTTTGAGCTGATAATATTTAAGAGAAATTGGACTTTTATTCTTTATAATATTTAACAATAAAAAAATAATAATAAAATGTGCTCGAGTTTCGGTAAAATACACCAAAAATTTTGAATTGGGCAAATTGACACTTCAAACAAATAATACTCTCATTTAATATTTACATGTTATTTTTAATGTTGTTTGCTTTTCAGGCCTTCTTCCCAGCAGCATCTTAATTTCTAATGATTGCAAAGTTTGCGTGCTTAAGCTTTAGCAATATTTCATGTGTAGTTTAGTAATCTTATTTGTTGGTTCTTTAAGATTGAAGATGGTGTTAAACTCCATACCGTAAACACAAAACATCAATAGCGGTGATCTTTCTCATTCATCATCTGTGAAGGTTAGTAACTTATTTGAATGGTGAGAAGAATTTTTAAATTGCATGCATGAAGAAAAGTTTCTTTAGAGTGCACTATGATAGATGATATATGAATGTTTGGGTTTTATTTTTTTATACAAGATGTTGTTTTTCATCATTATAAACAAAATATCATGTTCACTAAGATGTTTGACTTGGTTAAAGATGATTAGACATTTTGAATACTTATGGCATAATCTAGCGAAAAAAAAATGTTAAGAGACATAAAAACAGATATGGTGCACTATAACATTTTGATGAAGAAATCTTAGCCTTGTAAATTATAATTAGATATATGTTGCAACATTTATCCTTAAGGAGAAAGTAAGGGAGAGCAAAAGTACAGTTAGCACAAGTTAGCTCATTTTATTGTAAGAATGGTTGAAACAACTTTTTATTATAATTAAGGAGTCGATAAGTGACCAAATTAAGCTGATGAATAATCAAATAAGGTTGAAATAAAAATGAATGTTTTAATATATTTTATCCTAAGTTAGTTTAAGATAAGGAGTAATTATAAAGAAAGGTGATGAAGGAAAAGAAGAACAAGAAGGAGCTTGCAACTGATCTAACCTTTAACTTCATGTAAGCTAAGAAAATAATGCAAAAGAAGAATGATGAAGAGCTGGTGATTGAGGAGGATATGAAGGATTTATGGAGCTTATAGATCCATGCACCATTGATCTTCTTTTGCCTGTTTGATGAAGAGCAGTTGTCCTTCAAATCTTAGATATTTGAATTAGCTGTCAACTCTTAAGAGGAGCTAGGAATGGATAGAGGAAGTTCAATATTGTTCTAACATTTGAATACTCTTATAGTTTTGTTAGATAATAAGCTGAGAAGTATTTTATCATATTGAAAACATAAGTCCTTGACTATTTCCTCCAAATTAGTTAAAAAATAATTCAGTAAGTTTGAAATAAAGTAATGAATGTGTTAACAAATTTTACCCAAACATTCTAGGCATAGGGAGTACTAATAAAGAAAGGAGATGGTGAAGGTAAAGAAGAGCAAGTGTTTATTTATAACTGATCTAACCTTTAATGTAATTGAAGTTGGGTCCATAGTGCAAAAGTACAATAACGTAAAGCAGGAGATAAAGGAAAACATGTAGAAGTTAGGGAGCTTATGGATCCATGCGCCATTGATCTCTTTCTGCACGTTTGATGCGGAGAAATTGTCCTTCAAACCTTGGAAATTTGGATTGGTTGACGACTCATGAGAGGAGCTTAAAGTAGATAGTAGACGTGTAATATTGTTTTAGCAATTGAGTACTCTTATAGTTTGTTAGCTAGTAAGATGAGTATTTTGTTATATTGAAAACACAAGTTTTTAAAGATTACCTACAAATTAAATTACAGAATAATCAAATAAGGTTGACATTAAAAAGAAATGAATGTTTTAACAAATTATACAGAAAATGTTTTTAAGCATAAGGAATAATAATAGAGAAAGTAGGTGGGGAAGGAAAAGAAGAGCAATAGTGTGCTTGCAACTCTTTTAACCTTTATAAATGTAATTGAAGTTAGGTAGATAGTGCAAAAGAGAATAATGTAAAGTAGGAGATAGAGAAGTTAGGTACATAGTGCAAAAGGAGGCTAATGTGCTTGCAGCAGCGGTTTTCCTTTACCAACAATTTTTGGCCAAATGAATTTTTCTTTTGCAAATGCCACATGGAAGATATTTGTCACATTTTCTTTAAGTTATTTTTTATTTAAAAGTTTCTTGTGAATTTCTCCCACCTTTTTTTATTATGAGATCATAAATTTGTTTTATATTGAAAAACATTTTATGCAGTATTCTCACTCCGACTATTCAATTTTTTTCATATGCTTCAAGAGAGCTCATTAATTATATTGGTGATAAAGTTTTTAGATCCCTTGATTCTTCAATTGCATAAATTATTGTATTATATTTTTATGTACAAGAAATTAATATTTTTTCTATTATTTTCTTGTCATAATTTTTTACTCGATATGCTCTCATTTGATTAACTATGTCATTTATCTTGAAATAATAATCTTTTGGGGTCTCTTTATCTTTTATTTTAATATTCTCAAATTTTCATTTAAAATTTTGCAATTTGATGAAGCGTCCCTTCTTAGTTCCTTGAAACTCATCCAATAACTTGTCTCACACTTGTTTTGTAGTTTCTGTGCCCATGATTCGAGGAAAGATGACATCTGCCTCTCTCTCTTCGCCTAAGTAGGAGTGTTGATTGTACACTTAGTTGATAGATCTTCCACTCGTTTTGTCCTGCAAATGCAACTAATGCTATTTTTGCATAATGTCGTGCAATTGGTGCAAATATCTGATAGTCAACTTCAAATTGTTGTGAGTTATCCCTTTGCAACTAGTCTTGTTTTATATTTTTGAATTGATTTATCATGTTTGAGCTTTGTCTTGTAGACCCGCTCGATTCCAATTCTCTTTTCTTCTTTTGGAGAGTTAACTAATTCTCATGTCTTATTTTTCTCGATCATCTATATTTCTTCTTTCATAGCTTTTCTCCTAACTGCTTCCTTTGAGGCTTCCTCGAAGCTTCCTCGCTCCATGATTATCAATTTACAATACTCATAGATTTTTGCTAGAGTTTTTGTTCTTATGGGCGGTGAATCAAGAGATGAATCTTAGATTTTACTTCATAAGAAAACTGATATTATATGATTACGACCCCACTTACACAACATCATAAATTTTAGGGGCATTTTCATATGTAGCACTCAAAATATTGCTATTTACAAAATCTAGCACTCTATTTCATTCATTTTTCAAATTTTCGCTCAAATATCAAAATTCATGATAAAACCCCCAACCCATATTTTTCATTTTTATCAATTTATCAATGATTTGATCATGACACATGTAAATACATCGGTTCGACAATGTTTCAGGTCTCTAGGGGTACAATAAGATAATCCATTTAATTTAAAAAAAATGGATAATTCAGCAAAAATTTATGCATACTATCTGATGATTATTTTATATCTTATTTGTAGTGATGATTATGAATTGTATGCAATACATAATATACCAAGCTAAAAACAAAAATCAGAAGCTATACAGAATTTCATATAATTTTAAATGAACTATTTATAGACTTATTTTACAATAACGTAGAGCAGCAAATTCATTAATTATATATATATATATATATATATATATATATATGTTAAATATCTTATAATTCATCATATGAAAAATATATTTTTCACACTGTTGTACCATCTTGTGTTATATTTCATAGTTTAATTATGAGCAATTATCCTTTGAATGATGATCCAGCCATACTTAATCCATTCTTGATCATGGCTTAAATATTCTTCAAATTATAGTTTTATAATCAAATTATCATTTTTAAATCATAAATCATGAATTGTGTTTAAAGAATGATCGATCAAGGCGAAATCAACTTTAAAAATTTGGCTAAAAATATAAAATTTTTATTCCTTAAAATTGAAATTTTGAGCATATTTCTCTAATTTTCGATATTACAAGGCATACAAAGAGTCCGTTTGGGACAGTTCATTTGGTGCGGTGACGTTTTGAAAATGCATCAAATTTAATTAATTAAAGTGCATTTTGGCAGCTTATGCGTTTTCAAAACGCTGAAAATAACGTTTTCACATCGCATCTATTTTGGTGTAGTTGTAACTTTCTGACTTCGATTGGGCTTTTTCAAAAAAAATAAAAATTTATAACAGTCACCATTGCACTTAGTTTATCAACAAATTATTTTTAATCAGTTTATCAGCAAATTATTCAATAAATTTCAACGGCCCCAACTAGACCCAAAGTCAAAGATTGATGTGATTATCATGACAATGCAAATCATGTTCAAAAAGTTTATATTTACTCTTTTTTTTATAATTATTTTTTAGACACGTGTGATGAAAAAGGTAATAAAGTAATGCATAGAAAAGATTCTCTTGAGCATGACTTGCTTCCTCCCCAAACTTTCTCTATATTTAATATTTTTTATTTATTTTTCTTTAAATTAATTTTGGCAGCCTAAATCTTTTTAATTCTCTAAATTATTTTTATATTATTTTATGGCTGTATACCACTCATTCTTATTGGTTAACTCATAAATATAACTGCATAACCCCCCTTTTTTTCTACCACTTGCAATAAAAAATTTGTGTGAGGCTATTCATCAGAATTGATTTAGCAAAAAAAATTAAAATTTTAAGAAGTTATTTTTAGATGAACATAATTTTAAAATTAATTCAATGCCTCTATATTATATTTATTTGAAATAAATTTAACATTTTTTTTAAAATTTTAAAAATAAAATTGTTGAGCACCTAGTACTTCTAGTGGTGTATGAGAGACGAGCCTACTTGCGAGCTTGTTCGAGCTTGAATCTTTATTAAGCTCGAATAGTTAATGAGCTAGCAAGTCGAGTTTATTGAATTGCAAGCCCGAGGTCAAACTCAAGCTTTTAAAGAGCTAGTGCTCATTGAGCCTCGGCTCATCGGCTTGCGAACTGGCTAGACTAACAGAATTTAGGTCATATTGATGCCATCGGCTTGCGAATTGGCTAGACTAATAGAATTTAGGTCATATTGATGCCTTCTCTCGTTGAGTTGTCACGGTACTTAATCTTTCTCTCTCACCATTAATCACTTAGATGGCTTCTGTGATGAGCTTCTATAATAATTTCATTTGAGCCCTTGAGCTTGCTGTTTGTACCACATGCCAAGCTAGAGCTCGTCGTTTGAGCTCCACACAAGCTAAGCTTGTATTTTGATAAACTAACTGAGCTCGAGCTAGGCATAACTCGTGCTCAACTGACTCGTTTACACCCCTAAATATATTCCTTTGTGCAAAACTTGTGGAAGAATTAATGGAGAGTTTTCTCTCTAATTTAGAGACTCAAATTTGAAGCAATTTCTAATCATTAATGAATCACATCTCAAGAGAGTAAAGTATAAGGAGGAAGAGAGAGAGAGAGAGAGAGAGAGAGAGAGAGAGAGAGAGAAGTATATAGTAATGAACAATAAAATGTCTCGTCTTTTAACCATTTCTCATAAAATGTTCTCCCTATTTATGAGAGAGGGTATAATGAGTGATTGTATTTTTCCTCCTCTTTAATGAGGGCTATTACAAATATTTTACATGTATGAGCCTCTTATTTGACTGACTTATAACTCGATTGACTGGTTTAGCATTACTTCAATGTGTTAAGACCGGTTCGATCAGATAAGCTTGAGTTGTGCAGTCAGTCAGGTGAATTTGATTAGTTTAACGGTCGACTAGACTAGTCGTACGGTTGATCTTATACGACGATATTTTGTTAGCCTAACAAGACTAGTCAAATTTCACATGTTTTAGAGAAAGATTGATGTGATGACCATGAAAATGCTTATCATGCTCAAAAAGTTAATATTTACTCTCTTTTTTTTAATTAAGTCTTAGAGACATGTGATGAAAAAGGCAATAAACTAATGCATAGAAAAGATTCTCTTGAACATGACTTGCTTCCTCCCCAAACTTTCTCAATATTTAATATTTTTTATTTTTTCTTAAAGTTAATTTTGGCAGCCTAAACCTTTTTAATTTTTGTGATGCAATTGGGTACATCATTTTCTTCTAAATTATTTTTATATTCTCTTATAATTGTATACCACTCATTCTTATTGGTTAACTCATAAATATAACAGCATGACCTTTTTTTTATTGTAATGCTAAGACTTGCAATTAAAATTTTTTTTTAATTTTAAAAAGTTATTTTGAGATGAACAAAATTTAAAATTATTTAAATACCTATATATTATATTTATTATAAATTATTTTAACATTTTTAAATTAAAAAAAATGGTGAGCATCTAGCACTCCTAGTGGTGTATGAAAGATGAGCGTGCTTGCCAGCTAGTTCGAGTTCGAGCTTGATGCAATATTAAGCTAGAATAGTGAATGAGCTTGCAAGTTGAGCTTATTAAATGGCGAGCTCGAGGTCAAACACGAGCTAGTGCTCCTCAAGCCTCAGCTCATCAGCTTGTGAACCGACTAGACTTAACAGAATTTAGGTCACATTGATGCCTTCTCTCGTGAGTTGTGATGGTACGTATCTTTCTCTGCTGTCATTAATCACTTAAATGGCTTCTGTGATGAGCTTCTATACAATTTCTTTTGCGCTCATGAGCTTGTTGTTTGTACCACATGCCAAGCTAGAGCTCGTCATTTGAGCTCACACAAGCCCAACTTGTATTTTTATGAACTAGCTGAGATCGAGCTACGCATAACTCAACCTCAACCCCACTCGTTTACACCCCTAAATAGTTCCCATTGTGCAAAACTTGTGGAAGAATTAATAGAGAATTTTCTCTCAAATGTGGATGCTCAAATTTGAAGCAATTTCTATTAACTAATCTCTGTTGAATCTGAATTTATTCGTGAATCATATCTCAACAAAGTAGAGTGTAAGAAAGGAGGAAGAAAGAAAGAGAGAAGTGTATAGTAATAAACAGTAAAACATCTCGTCTTTTAGTCATCTCTCATAAAATGATCTCCCAATTTATAAGGGGGAGGGTACAATGAGTGATATTTTATTTTTTGCCCCTCTTTAATGAGGGTTGTTACAGGTATTTTACATGTATGAGCATATTGTTCGCCTGACCTATGACACGGTTGACCGGTTTAGCATGACTTCAATGCGTTAGGACTGGTTTGATTAGCTAAACTTGAGTTGTGCAACCTGTCAAGTGAATTTGATTAGTTTTAGGACAACAGGGCTAACTCGGTCGGCTAGTCTTGCTGATCGGTTGATATAATCTAATTATCAACGCTCGATCCATACACAATGATATTTTGTTAGCATAACAGACTAGACTATGGAGCAGATGATGAATCACCGCCGCTCGGTAAAGAACTCATTGGCTCTTCATGATGATTATGAGGTTATATTGTATATATAATTCTTGACCCCTAATGAGAAATTTTTAAGAACGTTCATGACACGACAGGTGATGCCGGGGAACTAGGTTCTTTCATCGAGTCAGATCTACCAAAAGGTAGGTCGATGCCTTCGCCGGACTTCCTTATAGTGGTTGGGTTAGATGGTTGTCTCATTTTATTCTAATGGGTTTGGGTCTGTGTCATTCAGTCGTGTTCATAACTTGGTCGGTTTTGATCTTACTTATCTTGGCTCAGACGACTATATCTAGTTGCATTAGTGGGACTCCCAAAGAAAAAAAAAAATACATATTTTCAAGGAGCTCTTCCCATATCTTAAGCAATACTATATTTTGCTACATGTGTACATGTGGGGAGGGACAGCGAAGAAGGCATTTCTCCATTAATTTCCAATCAAATCATCTTTTTCCACGAAATTAACGTGGAGATAACAACAACTTGCCCGCTGCCCGTAATAATAATTAAGGAGTTTCCCTTCCTTTTGGCAAAGTAGCCCTTTCATGTGGAGAGATATGATGACATGTGGCTCCACTAGGCTAAGTTATGTGGGACCATGATTTTATTTTATTTTATAATTTCTTGTAAATTATTATTTTTTTAATGTCCAATCCTAAGAAAATTATATTTTTTCTTATATAAACTTTTTGGATTTATTTTATTAAAATCAAATTAGATTTTGTTTGTAACCTTTATTTTTTTATTATTTACTATTATAAACACATATTTTTAAACTATAACAATTGATATATATATATAATATATATATATATATAATTTTAAAGTGCAAAATAAATAAAAAATTTAATTTTTTTTTGTGCATTTCTATAACAAATACAAGCCATTATCCTACTAGTTAGGGTTTGCCATATGAATTATTTTTTTTTCATAGTAATATTTTTTTAGAATAAAAAAAGAATTAAGCTATAAACAAAATCTATTTTTATTTTTATATAAAAAAAATAAGAAAATGCTAAACAAAAAATATAATTTTTTTTAATTATTATTTCACTAATTACTTTTTAAAAATTTAGCCATGTGAATCATGATTTTATCATTTTTATTTTTATTTTTAAATTTTAACTTGTGGCATTTTAAGACATAGCACACAATTCTTATGTATTTATGTATCTCATACCTAAACTTTCATATTTACACATATAGTGGTGAGATTTTTAAAATTACACGAAAAATAGCATTATTATCATTTTTTAAAAAGCGAGATACACATGCCATGCACGTAAGTGTGAGATATACATACTAAAATAAAAATGTTCTTCGCGTGTAAATTTCCTTACTAAACTTAAAAAATTTTAAAATATCTATAAAATTTCTCCTACATACTGTCGAAACCTTCATGCATGCATGTCAAGCACTGTGAGTTCCACGAAATGTCAAAATATAGAACTTCGATAGTATGTTCGGATGATAGTCTGAATAGAACCATACACTGATATAAGAAGGTAAAAGCTTAGAATCACATGAATATATATATTTTTTTGCTCAATATATCTCAATAAAAGAAGGTTCACATAATTCTTTGTCATATTATATATTTATTTATTTATATCAAGGGTGGACAATTGCACGTCTTATAATTTACAATTTCTCTATATAAATAATAAAATTTAATATTTTTTATAGAGCTTAGCTAATATGGTAATTTTGCCCAAAACAATATATACTTTAAAAATTCAGACAATTGACGATTTTACCCTCCCAAATTTTTTAAATTTACTTTCAATGAATATGTTGCAAATTCCACATTACTTATTTACAAATTGGTAGCAAAAAGATAGGAGAGAAGTAGATAAAGACAAAAGTGTTTGGGAAGGCTGCAGAGAAATTAGCTTGCAGTGAGCTGTGAGATTTGGCTTATGACATGAAAGCTGTTGATGATGACGCATTGCAGCCATTGGAGATGTCTTTAATATCTTTAGCATTCATGGGCTTGTTGTTCCACAAGTATTGCTATTATAAGCTAAGCACCATTTTATCTATTTTTTTTTTGCAGTGAATTAATTAAACAACTAATTGCATTTAATGATGTTTCTCTCTAATAAATATCAAGAGAGAGAGAGAGAGAGAAAGAGAGATACATTTAAGAAGAAAAGTTCATTTTGTTTTCATTAATGAAAAGTTGTTGTGAAGCTGTCGAAAAATAATCTGATGTTCAACAAGCTGTGGTGACTACTATAACTTTTTTTTTTTTTAAGTCTGACTGTAGCTAGAAAGCTGCCACCTCACCTAGTCATAACTGGTGGGAAAACACATTTCAGAAGTAATTTTTATAAAAAAACTGTCAAAATGCAGTTTACCTAAACAGAAAATAAGAAGTCTTGTTATTTAGAAGAGAGTAGAATAAGTCAATTTTTTGTAGTGTTATTAGGAATTAAATCTAATTTTTCTTTTTTAATTATTAGATAAGATGATTTTTTTATTTATAGAAATTATTTAATTTATTAAAAGAAATATTAAATTTTAGGATGAGAAATTACCCATCATGGACTGTATGTGGGTGATAACCCCCTAGTTTAGAATAAAATCTTTCCTATCAAATTTAATTACTTATTTACTTTATTTTCATCAACATCTTCCAAATTAGTAATATAATTTAGAATTAAAAATTCTCCATAGTGTTTCTAATAATTTTCTCAAAAAATTGTCTTTAGACATTTAAGATAATATTTTGACTAAAACAAATGTTGATGTAATTAGATTTAGTTTTAATTATAATGGTGTTATATAAAATTTAATTAAATTCTCATATATTATATTTATATCAATTCACATTCAAGGACTACTATGAGAACATCATCATTAATATTTGGTGAGATATCTTGATATTTTTTTTTAATTATCAAGTGTACTTCTTTAGGTATAGTCATTTCTACTTAATTACATAAATAGTGGCTTTAATAGTATTAAAATAATATTTACTAATTTATTATTTAAAAGGTTATAAAAAAACATTTCAAATTCATTAATAATAATATAAAACTATATATAAAATGTTAATTAGCTAAATAATATATTAGTTAATTATGCCACTTTGTTCAAACATAGGGATGAACAAACATTATTGATGTTTTATATATGATCTACTTAATTTATATTCAAGCCATATAATATGAAATAAATTTAATAAGTACTTAGTGGAGTTCAAAATTTTCTTCAAATTAATTTTTAATGAATAAATTTTTATTTTATTTTTGCTCAATTTTTTTTATTTTTTTATTATTTCTAACAAGCCTTATAAGAATCATTAAAACTTGATCAAACTGAAATAGTTAGCCGATTACAATGTAATATTAGCAAATTTATATAAGTAGCACCCAATTCCTATGTATTTATATATCTAATATCTAAACTTTTATTTTTACAATTATGCTCTCCAAATCTTTCATATCACATACCAAAATACAACCATTTTAGCTTTAAAAAGTAAAATAGAACTCTTCAATCCAAAAATGTCCTGAAAACACACCCAAAAATAAAATATTATGCTAGGAAGGGACGAAAGAGAGAGAGAGATAGTACATCAAGAGACGGTAAAAGAGAGTGTCATTTATTAATGACGTTGACCGTTATTCATAAACATATGTCCCGACAGTATAAAAGTGCATATTGACCCCCCTCATTATTAACTTTTCAGATGAAGTTTTTAGTAATTACAGAGTTATTCGCATATAATAAGATCTGGGACTGATTCGATCGATGAGGGTTGTCGATCGTCTCATAAGAATTAACTCAATTGATATGAAAGAGAGCCTCCTATCGATCATCTTGAGGATTGATCCCCGCATTGCAGAACGTCTCCTAGCACGTTCCGACGATCATTCGGATCCCTTGCCAGCATCCAGTTCATGACGATCGTCAACAGCTATGCCCAATAGCCGGTGTCATTCTCCTGAGCCGCCTATCTGTCTTGAGCTTCGTGCCGCCATATGTTTATATGTACAACAACTTTACATAATTACATGCATAGTAAGGTCATGTGTACGTAAAAATTGAAATTTTCGTGTTCGATACCTAAATACATAGAAATTAATTGGCATTTATGTAAATCTTCCCATAGTATTTTTCCATTTAGGACATTTACATACATAATCCACAATTTATATATATTGACATGTCTAACACCTAGACTTTTATATTTGTAAATACATATGAATTGCATTATATGCTTGTAAATCACAAAATCGCCATCACAACCCACCCAACATTTCCCCGGGCCCCACCCACATGACTTGCCGGTCCACTCCTAAATCTCCACTGTCCCCTCCGGTCCAACCGCCGGATCCACCGGTCCAGTCTTCTCCAACATGAACCGGCACACCTCTCGACCATGTCCCCTAACTGCCCGACCGGGTAGGCTGGAGGTGCCCGGCTTTCCCTGCAGGCATTATTCATTATTCCTTCCAAACCCTATAAGTCTTCTAGAGGACCACAAACTCCTTCGTCTTTCCCTCACGAGCTCCACTCCGGCGATCACCGGGAACCTAGCACCACCTGCGGCAGCGGCGGAGATGGACGGAAACTGTGATAATCTAGAAGATACAGAGCTGAGGCTCGGTCTGCCCGGAATCGATGTAACTACAGTTTGTTCCAAGGTCAACAAGAGGGCGTTGACTGACGATTTTGACCTCAAGAGGCCTTCCGCTAAGTGAGTTTTTAGTTGTTTTTTTAATCATCAAATCAAAAAGTTATTATTTGGATTGGATTGATGCGGTTATAATTATTATTTTCTTAATTATATTTAGTTAGATTTATAATGAGTTTAAGGTGGCGGTGTTAACGATCTGATTTCGAGTAAAGCGGCTCAAAATCGACTCGAAATAAATTTGATCTAAAATTTTGGCCCGTATCTTGGCTCATTTATTTTGATCCGAGCCAAAATTCGAATTAATTTTTGAGTGATTAACGCTCTTCGAGCTAAATTAGTTAAATTAATAGTCATAACATCTATTGCCTATTAACGATCTGACTTCAAGTTGAGTTGGGGTCAACTCTTAAAAAAATCAGATCCAAAATTTTGGCTCGTAGCTTAACTCGTTTATTTCGATTCGATCTCGATCCGAGCAAAAATTCATATTAATTTTCGAGCGATTAAAGATCATCGAGCTACATTCACAGTAGTAGTTTAACGAAGCTTAAGATTTTAAAATTTATGAGAAAATTTATGGGAATATGATTCAAATTTTATGGTATTGGTTTCCTTTTTAATTTAAGATGACTATAATATGTGATTAATAGACCAATTTTTAATTAGATTTTAATTAAATCAAAATAAATTTACTAAAAATTCATTACATTTAAATTTTATAATTTATAGGAAAGAAAAAGCTATAAATAATTTTTATGACAATTTCTTTGAAGGAATTTCTTACAAAATTATTTATTATGAAAAAAAAATTATTTAAATCTTGCAAAAAAATTAATATTAGGCAGATATATATATATATATTGGGCTAGTAAAGCTCCTATATATATCCATTTTTAATTACATAAATCTTATTTTGCGAGGAATTATTTATAGAAATGTTTACATAATTTGTAGGGCACAAGTGGTCGGGTGGCCGCCGGTGAGGTCAAATAGAAGGAACAGCATTCAGGCAAGGAGGTCGGAGGCGGCGGAGATCGCCGGCGCCGGAATATTCCTTGTGAAGGTCAGCATGGACGGAGCGCCCTACCTGAGGAAAATAGATCTCATGATCTATAAGGGTTATAAGGAGCTCAGAAATGCTTTGGAAAATATGTTCAAATATTTCCCTTTTGGTTCTTTAGGTAAGCATTTTACATATATATATATTTATTATATTTACAGATGTCCCATATCATTCCAATGTTATGTATTTATATATCACACCTCTAAATTTTAATTTTAAAATAAAAAAAAAATCTATAATTTCATAATATTTTTTTTTTAATATTTATTTTCCACACCACAACCGTATAATCACTTTTAACTAGATTTAGGGTATGTTTGGGGCAGCTTATTTGGTGCGGCAGCGTTTTGAAAACGCACCTGACCTCTTTGGGTAATGGCAGCTTATGTGTTTTGAAAATGCTGAAAATAGTGTTTTCACACCGCACTTAGCTAGGTGTGGTGACAGCTTACTGACAACGGTCTAGCTTTTCAAAAAAAAAAAAAAATTATAATAGCCAGAGCACCTAGCTTATCAACAGATTATTCAATAAGTTGCAGCTGCCTCAAACAGACCCTTAATTAATTAATTTTTTTTATGATTGTACCCAAATTTCCTTAGAACACATATTTGCAAATCAAAACAATGATTTTCATATTATGCCTTAATTAATATTTTCAGTTATTTTATCTTTTAAAAGCTAAATTAGAAAAAAAAAATTTGCCCCAATTTACTTTTCTCAATTTTTGCACAAAAACATGTCATAATAAAGCACTTTAGATATTTTTTACAGTATAATAATTACATGATTTTTGTACTGACACAGTTCTCCAATCTCCATCGTCCATCCTAGCAAATTTTAAAAAAAAATTGAAATAAGGCCCACGATCATACATTTTTGTTGTGATAGACAATAGAGATCAGGCACTATATGCATCTCTGCATGTGGTGTCCGTACGAGTAATTTTTCGTATCCTAGACTGTTTTGATGATCAATATTTATTTATTAATTTTTTATCTACCTTTTTTTTTTTTTCTTTTTTTTTATTTTGGCCCCTTAGAATGTGAGAATTTAGAGGTAGAAGCAACAAGTGGAACTGAGTACGCAGTTGCATATGAAGACAAAGATGGGGATTGGATGCTGGCTGGAGATGTCCCATGGGAGTAAGTTCATATTTTATTTTCTTTATTTTATAATTACACATTTCATTTTAGGAAAATTGACTTACATACCACATAAATTCTATGTATTTACATATCTAGCACCTAAATATTTATATTTATAATATTCTTAACATTTTGATGCTATAGACCTATGCATGAAAAAAGTGTATTTTATTTTAAATAATTAGTAATGTAATATTAAAGATTTCAGCGCTATGCCTGTTAATATAAAAAGATTAGGTGTAAGATATATAAATACATAAGAATTGTGGGACAAATATGTAAATATTCCTTGATTTTAAATAATTAAAAATTAATTAATTAATTAATTTTTTATATATATATTTTTTGCAGGATGTTCATTTCTTCGTGCAGGAGGTTGAGAATAATGAAAGGATCAGAAGCAATGGGCTTGGCTCCTCACCCTTGAAAACAAACAATCCTGCAAATGAAAAATTATTTCATACGGACGGCGTATGCAGAGATGTATGCGTTATCCGATCTCCACCGTTTATCAGAGCTTTTATCATTTTTTTTTATTTAAAAAAATCGGTCTACCGAAATACAACTTTGATCTGATCAACGGTGGAGATCGGACGGCGCATACATCTCTGCATACATCTT